AAATATAGCTCCACAATCTTGACTCGCCATTATTATTTTCTATTATTGAAGTTTCACTATATGATTATCAAGAACCATCTCAGCTCACCCATATATCTGTTATATCAATACTCTGTTGTTATAATTTATCATATTGACAAGCGGGAAGCATTGTGAATGGTGTTGCTTTTCTAATAACTCTCGAGTTTTTGTACAGAATTATTTTGTATCCGAACTACTTCGCTGTACAATTTACATATTCATTTTTCATACGAACAATTAATTTTAACATGTCGTATAGATACATGATAAAATCTATCATCTACAATAAACTCTCAGAAACGTGACTTTTCTGAGACTTTCTTCGGTTTATATTTTTTATATGTAAAATATTTTTTGGTTTGGAACAGCACCCTTATATAGATGCTAAGAAAGAATTGGATTTTCATAACATAATTACCAAACATATCAATATTCATAGTGCAGTGTATTTCAAAGAGAAAGAGAAAAGTCATATTCCAAAGGTTGTAGGTTTGAGCTAACGAATTATTCGTGTATTGCAATATATGGCTACAGCAAGGGTATTTATTAATTTGATCAAACTGGCTGCAGTCAAGTCTGCAGCGACAAATATCTTTTACAAACTTGTAAGTAACTCATCTTTTGTATATGTGAATTGATAGTTTTGTGTTCACGGATTCTATTACGTGCTTGGATAAGTGACGTTAAACACCTATTCTTCCTCACATGATAGTTTTGTAAATCCAGTTAAGAAAACTTACTTGTACGTGTTAACATACACAAAATATATATACCGTATTTTTGGGAATATAAGACGCACCCTTATTTTGAAGACAAAGTTTTGGGGAAAACTTTACTATACTAACTTTACTGACTCCATTATTATAATTTATTTTTTTATTATTTAGGGAGCATTATAAATAGTTATGTTTTTAAAAGAAAAAAAACTACTATTGTTATAAATAACACATTCAATTGAACTAAACCATGCATGCCTATCTAAATATATTTACACATGGCTTGTGTATATCGTATATATACATATATATTATTCATACCTTCGATGTATAGGACGCAAGCAGATTTTGACATCAAATTTTGGGGTAAAAAAGTGCGTCTTATATACACTGAAAAATACGGTATTTATCCCTGTGCACGTGTATACATTTACATAATTGGACGACCTGTAATAAAATGTACATATACATGCGTATATGTCTGTTTAATTGGACTAATTACACTAAGATGTACAAATACGTCTGTATAAGTTGACTAACTATAACAAGGTATACAAATGCGTGTGTATTGATATATATACTGAATTTCATACTGACACTTACAGCTTGGTTTTATCCGTTCCACACGTTCTAGATTTTGCGTTATGCATTTTAAATCTCTTAACAATTTGATGATCTTCTAGAGGTAAGCCTTTTTAGTGAAACGTGTTTAGATAAAATCCACATGCTTACAATTACACTTCAAATTAAAGTTTCCTCTCATTGAAGATTAGAAGTTACATGAAATACGTGACTTGATGTGATATCTCTGATAAAATATACCGAACTTATCAACCGCGATCGTTCGTTTTCAAATATGATAGGCCTATTGAATCCCAGATGTATGTGGATCAAAGTAATTGCGTCCATGGCACTTAAGTGAAGTGCGTCAGAAATATAAAACCTATAATGTTACTAAATCAATTTATGTGTGAAGATGTATATATATCTATATATGTTGTCGTAGGATATTCAACATAAATTGATTTGTTTCTACTAGAAAAAAAAACTAAGTATTTTTTTTTACTGAATATATAATGTTAGTCAATGCTACTCGTAAAATAAAAAAAAGAAATATAATAAAATGGCGCAATAGAAATTATACATCTTTTCTGTTGCTTTTGGATATCGTTAAACCCATCTAATGAGTCCTGGTACTGAGCGAAAAGCTTTTAGGGCAGTGACTTGTGGGAGACAAAAGATAGATCTGAAATTGAATTTTTACGTACATCTGATTTTAAGTCGAAATTGACAAACAAAGGGGA